ATTTAATACATGGAGTTTCAGGTCCTATGCTCTCCCCTGCTGTGCAAACCCTTCCTCCCTGGGGAGGTACCTGCAAGCCCTTGTCTCCTTGTATGAGCTACAGTACTGGGATTGGAAGGCAGGAGAGGAGGGGACGGACCCTGCTGTCTCTTGCTGTACAGGAAATGCCCAAAAAAATCTTTTCCAGTAATGCAGATGCTTTCAAGGGGGAAAAAGAATTCAGAATAGTGTAACTCAGGAAGAAAACACATCGGACTAGTGCAGTACAGCTGTATTCAGATCCCACAAAACCCTAGATCACACCCCCTCATTCCCATCCCACACTCCAAACATGCACCAAAGTGCTGGAGATGGTTAACTGCGGCATGACACACACACAGCAGAAAGACCAGCACTAAGACTTGGACATACTGAGCAGAGGACAAAATTTATCTCTCTTTTTCACTCTCCTTTAACTGGGGGGAAGGAGGTTGGGGGGGGGGGGGGCACCACCAACGAAAAAAACCCAAAACAAGCAAACAAACAAATAACAACAACGAATGTTGGTATCTAATCACCGTTAGTTTTAATGCTTTACTTCATAATTTGTATTTAATGATGAATATTAAATTCACTTTGTGGAAAGAAAGGGTGCAGTATTTTAGGCTAAGTTAAGGCATTAACATTTCATCCTGACAGCAGCCGCAAACACTTTTGATATTGAGTGTCTGCAACCCCAGTAGGAGGAACGGCTTTGGCTACATACAGCTACCCACACTCTTGGAAGAGACAGGTACTTCTGAACATCTTCTTGCTGTTGTCTGTACATAAGCAAGTGCTGCGTGAAATGGTCCTTCCTTATTTTGCACTACTTACTTTATTCAACAAATTCAGAAGCTGGCTGAGTCTATATATAGAGGCAGACCACGACCATCCCCCTCCTGGTTTGGAGACTTTGGGCAGCTTTAAAAACCAAGTAAACACCAATCCCCACTTCTGTGGGCACAGATCTCGTGACATTGCCCAGCATAAGCCACAAATATTTTGAGAAGGTTCAGACTGCATCTTCAAGCTTATCAACCCCGTTGCATGCACTGCTAGATCAGTTAGTGTACTAAAAATATTAGAGCAGGCAAGAATGTGATGGAGGATATCTTCCTGATGCAGAAGATTAATTCATCATTCATGTCTAGAGATTTCTACTGCATTTTTAATAGTGCACATATGGATTGCGTCTAGTGATCTATAGAACTTCCTTTCTGGATATGGGTCTATGCTGGATAACAGTCCCCAAACAGCAATTGCAAGAGGCCCCAGACCTTCAAATATCACTATGCAGAAAGAACAGTTAGGGCTCTGATGTACATACTCCAGTAAATCTTTCAGTGGCGTTTTAAGACACAACTGTGCTCCACAGCTCTGCTGGAGATTCCTGCCTCCAGAGCAGGATCAGCAAGGCAGAAAGTCTGCCTGTACCTTCGCTGCTGCACCACACAGCCTGGAATCTCAGCTCCAGCGGCTGCAGCAGAGGCTCGTATTCCCTGCTGGTTTCACTACAGTGGGAAAATCGCCAGTGTGAGGGCAGGGGGCACCGCTCAGAAAAAAAACAACCAGCCTTTGAGACTCCCAGAGCTGATGTCAGATAAGGCGTGAGCTGCACCAGCACACTGTGCCTGCACACGGTGCCGCTGCAGGCCAGAGGTGATGTGCCCCCGTGCAGGCATAATAAAACGCAGAGCCTCACCTTTTTGCATTATGCTCAATTAACCAAAGCAACTATGTTCAGGAAAGTCACAGTGAATTTCATAAAGACAGATAATGTTGCTCCAGGCCTTCTAAAAATACACTCCCAGCATTAGCTTTCTACCAATCCTGTGCTGTTCAAAGCCTGTCAACAGATAACAGCAGCAGCATCCATGTATTTGCATTCAGTTTGGGGACTGGAAAGACAGCTATAAAGGGAGAAACTTAACTCGAAGACCCCTGCATCAGCAACAGCTACAACAAGGCTAGAGAAGCAGAGAGAGCAAACAGGACCATTCACCCCAATTAATTCCAGGGTCCGGGACAGACCCGGCACTCGTGCCCAGCACTGCTGCTGCAGACTGCTTTGTGTGCTGCTGCAGCATCGCTTCCTTACACCCACAAACTCCACTGCAGCTGCCTGTTGAGCTGGAAATGTGATACACTGCAAAGGCTGCTGACAGCCAGAGGCTTGTCTATAAAATATCCTGTAATAAATTACATTACAGACTGGGGAAAAGGATTCAGAAGAGAGAGAATTAAAACACAACCTTATGAGTGCTAAATGAGACCAATTAAAAGAGATTTGCTGCAAGTACTGAGGGATTTTGACCTGAGCTGTAATCAGAGATGGATATGCCTTCCTTTAAAAGAGGAATAGGAGAGATCATGTGTAAACAACTGCCAATTAAACCGAAATGGTATCTTATCTATGCAGCTCTGCTCAGAGAATCACCACATATTTCAGATATACCACAGAGAGATCTGAGATAGGCATTTAAAGCTCTGAAACAAGGCTCAGTGATGAGACAGGCTGTTGTTTGGGACACATCCAAGCCTCAGCTGCTCCTGGGTATCAGCAACCCCAACACCACCTTTTTTTTTTCAATTATTAAGAAGTGATAGTATTATAAATGCTAATAGAGAACTAGGCTCAGGCTTTTTTACCAGGTCACCTATGTGAATTCTGATCAGACTGAAGGGTAGGCATCACAACACTAAAACATGCCTACACAAACCCAGGCAGCACACAGCACCATCACTGCATTATTAGATCTTGCGAATGCACATGGTCATGTCCTGATAAACACTCACAGGTATTACTGCACACCTTGGTTCTTAACTGCTCAGCACCACAACCCCATTTTGCTGTCAGATGCCCCACAACTCCTCTCTCCTCATGTTCAGCAATACCAGAGGGCAGGACTGCCCCTGCTCTCTGCTCTGACACCAGCTCAGAACCCAGACCCAAGAGCGAGAGTCATTTCTGTGACTGGAGCAAAGAATCTGACATGGACAGATGCACCACTGCTTCTGCTCTGTGTCCTGCTCCACAGCTCATTTCCAAAGACAGCTCCTGCTCTTCTGAGATTTACAGTACTTACTAATTCAAGAGCATATATACATACAAATGGGCTGAAAAGCACTGAAACAGAGGAAGAAAAGATGTATTAGGAAACCGTGTTCGAGAAGCAGCAGTAAGAAAAACAGTACCACGGACTTTGGGAAGAGCAAAAATCAAATGGGAAGAACAAACAAAAGGAGGAATTTGAAATGAGGAAGAACATTTTAGGAAGAACGCTGCAAGCATACAAGACAATGACCCTAAGAGATATGTACTTGTTCACAGCTGCTGACAGTGGAAAAGTTTTAGAATTTCATGCTGGTTGCCAGATTCGAGCACAGAGTTTTTCCACTGGCTCAAATCTGGTCTAGCAGAGTCAGGCTGCTTTTGGAACCAGCAAAAGCTCTTCACACAGCACAATCCCTTTTGTGTGGTGTGAAGTACAAACAAAACAGCCTTTCTAGATGCAATCTGCCAGGAGTTCCATCTGTAATCTCAGTGCCATGAAAACAGCTGCCCCGAGAAGCCTGGTGCAGAAACACCACCAACCCCACTGTGGACAGAGCACCCAGGTGTCTCTGCACAGCAGTCCTATGGGCTCAGCTCTGTGACTGCTTACCGGTGCAGACACAGAGTCAGCCATGTGAGCAACGTGAGCAAGTGTGGGCACCCACATAAACTCTTGGGGCTAATGCTGAGATTGGAATTATTTCTGGCTCCCGGGGTGGTTTTGTACACAGGGTGTCCCGCTGCATTGGCACTACCTAGATTCCTTCATCATGCAACCCTTCCCAGCCCAATTAACACAGGTGATTGAATTGAATGCACGTACCCTGAAAAATTCACCAGAGGTTTTTAGTTTACCTCTTTGCCACAAAGGGCAAAGTTACACTTAAAAACGAGAAATGCACACACAATTAACAACTGGGAATGCTTCTTTAGCAAGACTGGTCACAGAGAGTCACAGTGTGGAGTAGTGTAACTTGTGGTTACATTCAGATATATGATATCTTCCCACTTCTCATTTGGGCAACACAGAATTTATTCGCTCTTGCATAAGCAAACAGGGGTCTATTTATCACTTTACCACTGCATATGTGCTTTAATGACTAAAGAATGTGAAACACTAGAGGAACGACTCTTCAGTTCCATCATCTTCTCCCATCTAACGTTAATCGTATTTGTTGCACCTTCACACTCCCACGGCGGTACCCGCCGCCGGCCTCCCGTGAACACAACCCGCAGCAGAAGTGTGTGCGGCACACGCAGTCCAGCTGCAGCCGCATGCCGCGATATGCACATCCCCTGCCCCGGTGCACACCGACTCACACGGTCAGTGGCGACAGACGCCGCACCAAGCCGTTCGCAACACACTGCCGGGGTAAACAAAGCCGGAGGGCGGCCCGGCACAGGAGCGTGAGGACAGGTTAAGAGGGGGCTCCGAGGGCCAGGAGCCACAGCAGCTGCCGTGGGGAAGGAGTCGCTGCCCCGGGCCGCGTGTCGGCTGCTCGGCGCCCGCGAACCGCAGCAGGGCACGGCGGCGAGACCTCCAGCCCCGGGCGCCGCCTCTAAATGGGCCGCCGAGGAGGGACACGGGCGCACCGCGAAGTCGGCTCCCGCCGAGGCCGAGCCCCCCTGGCCGCACAGGTGGCTGCCGGGCGGGGGACGCGGCGCCTCAGGAGCGGGAGACAGCGCCCTCCCCGCCGCCTGCCCCAGCCCGGCCCCCCCACCCCGGCGGCGGCCACAGCCGCTCTCTTCCCGCCGCCCGAAGCGGGGCCCCGCACAGCGCTCCGCCCGGGACGGCTAGCACACAACTTCCACTGCTCCGCAAGCGCCGCTCGCCCTCTCACGCTGCTCCCCGAACCGAGCTGAGCCGAGCCGGGCCGCGCCACCGCCATCACCCCTCTGCCCTCCTCCTCCTCTCGCACCTCACCTGCAGCACGGAGGCCCCGCCGGGCGGGTGGCTGGGCAAGGCAGGGCTCGCGGAGGGCACGCGTCCCCCGGTGCCGAGGGGTGCTCTCAGGCCGGCCGCGGCCCGCCGGCTCCCGGCCGCTGGGCGTCCCTCCGGCCGCTGGGGGAGCCGCCAGCGCCGCTCCGCTCCGCCGCCATCTTCCGCGCGGAGGAGGGGCGGCAGGCCCCGCCCTCCGCCAGGCCGGGCCGGTGCGGCTGGAGCGGGACCCTGCGGGACGGCGTGAGGGGAGGGGGGCCCGGGAACGGCCGGGCCGGGCCCGGGAACGGCCGGGCCGGCCCCGGTGTGCTCTCAGGCTTGCCGCTTGCCGCTCCTGAGGCTCGTTGCGGTTTGCGTTTGTGGTTGTGCGGTGGTTGGGGTACGGGAGGCTAGGCAGCAGGGCCCGGTGCAGCCGCCGCGGTCCGTCCCGGCGGCGCGGAAGGCGTGTGGGATGCCCGGCAGAGCGGCCGGCAGGGATTGACAAGACTGTAACATGCCCTGCGGCAGGAAAACAAACACACGCACGGTGCAATTTCCTACTTAGAACGATGCAGAAAATTGTAGCAGGAAGCCAGAATGGGATGTGGAGCCACATCACAGGGACATTTGCACTCAGCGGAGGATGGAAAAGTGGACAAGAGACTGGGAGTGCTTGAATCCATGCTCCTGCTTCTCAATCTGCTACACAGAGAGCACCCACACTGCTGCGGAGGAGCAAAACTTCATGACACGCTAGCAAGAGTAGGGCCTGGATAGCCACACACAGCAGAACTGGCTGGTGGTGGAAGAGGAGCAAGCCAAGCAAGGGGAAGCAGGTGCTCAGGGAACAAGGCCTCACCCTGGCACTGCGCTGCTTCCCATGCTGCAGCCCAGCACTCTGGCTTGGTCCCAAGAAACCCATAGAAAAGCAATGCGAGATGAAAGTTTACTGTATATGAACCTAAGCCTGTATTGAAAAGTTGAAAAAGCTTGAAAGTCACTGCTTTTGGATGCCTCTACAGTGGTCTTTTCATCTTCAGCTAGTCAGTTTGTACCTGAAGCACTGACCATGCTGCTGCAAACCTGTTAACAGGTGTATCAAATAGCCAAAGTAAAGCAGGCAAAGCAATGTGCAATCAGATCTTTGTGCAGTTCAAAAGCCTGTTCCGCTTCTGACCAACAGCACCCCCACCTCAATAGGAGGTGATGAGGCAGCTGCTCCCACCACCTGCAACCAAAGCTACCATTCTATCACACGGGCCAAGTACCCAGCAGCACGTATGTGAACACGTGACTGCATTTCTGTGCAGTGAACCCAAACACATGCCACGGTGCTTACCTCACACTAATATTGTCCCCAGCACACAGCCAGCCTGAAGCATGGCAGCAGCAGGTGATACCCAGTCCACCACAGACCTTGCACTTTCCAGAACAGCTGAGCAAATCTGAGCCAACACGGGGAATCTGGGGCAGTTCAGCACTTCGTGTCATGTGCTTGTAGCATTTATGATGCACTACTACGTTCTGTGAAACTGGATTTACTGTTTCAAACCACAGTTTGATATTTTGGCATAAAGCTTTTCTGGTAGTTCTCCATCTCTCTCCCAGTCCAACAAATCTCAGTTACACTGAGGGAGGGGAATAATGGACAGGAGTATACCTTGTACACTGCAGTACATCATACAGGTACAGCAGTATTGGCTTGAAATTCCATTTAAATCTGCAGTGACAGAAATCACCCTGAGAATGCCCCATCTCTCCAAACCCCTCCTTCCTCCTCAAACCATCACAGAAGAATTCACCTGCCTTCCTTGTCATTTCACCACATCCCAATTTTGATCCCTGTATCGTCATTGTCTTTCTGGCTACCTTGTATGTTGTTTCCTCTACTCACTTGCAAGACTGCCTGAAATCCATCTCGCACCTCTGCTCTTTTCACAAACACCAGCTTTCTTGTACTCCAAACCACTTTGGGTGCTCAGCTTTATTGCTCCCACCTTCCAAGCTATCATATTGCTCTGTGCCTCCATCTCTTAGCACATGCTATCCCTGCTAACATAGCATTTAAGGAACTCCTTCTCCTTCTTAAGGTTACGTAAGCAGACAAACAAGCAATCCTTCCCTGAATATTCAGGACAAAACTAAGTTTTAATGAATCTTTCTATTTGCCTGCTTCTATTGAAGTTTTCATGGGGCAGGAAGCCTGTTTCTTTCAAAAGGGAAGGTTGAAGCATAATGCTGTATAAAAAAGCTCAATGCAGTATTCCTAATAGGTATGGAAGATACTGAATTATAGCAGATTCAAATGTCTTAAAACCTGCTGACTCCTGATGTTTAAAATCTTTTCAGCGTTAATACTCTTTAGAATGAACAAGGCTGAAATCTGTTTGCAATTCTTAAAAACATTTAAGACAATCTATCTCAAAATTTGTGTCTTTTAATACAGAAAAAAAATGTTAAATCCAAAGCAATGAATTTCAGATGAGACCCAAGAGTAGACTTATCCTTCTTCAAACACTTATTTTTTCCCCCCAGTTTATTTTTAACTTCTAAACATATAGTAAGAAACAAATAATTGCTTTCTGGAACAGGAACAACCACACAGCAGTAGCACTGCTAAAACTACTGATAAACCCTATAGGATGTTCCAGTGTAAGCAAGGCCTCTGAATCATAGCCTTGATGCCATTCTTGCAGGCTCTCCTCTGTTGGTATGAGCACTACACTTTTCCACAGAAACATGGGAAAATAAATCGTGACAAGACAGTATTTTATCCCAACAAGAACTGGCCAAATCCCAGCTCTGCCAATATGCAGTCATATGATGCATTAACTAAAAGGTTTTCTACGAATAAATGTAATCCTGCCCATCCATTCATAGATAATTATGGTGAGTAAAATTATGTAAATTGTCACTGATTAGGGGCAAGAACTTCTCCTTCTCTCCCCATTCACCTGTGCTTGAGGAGACTCCACTGTGCACAAGGAACTTTCAGACTAAGATTTTATATACTTACTTATCCTTCACTGTGCCCAGGTTGCCTTGAACCCCACAAACCTATGCATTTCTCTTTCCTAATACTTGTTAAGTAGAGAAGAAATTGCTTGCTTAAAATTCTTCTTACTACTACACACCAACCACTTAATTCCTATTTCTCACTGGCATGCAGGTAAGGCATTCCTGCAGGTGAGGATTTCTCAAGCACTAAGGATCTCAAGGGAAAAATTCATAACCCTCCACTCAAGCCACTTTAAGTGCCCCCAAAGGACCATCTTTCCCAACTCTAAAATAAATTTATACCAATCCACATTGCATCAGTTTGCAGTCCCAAACCTTTCAAATTCTCAAGGGGATGGGATGGGATGGGGGGGGGAAGAAGGGGAGAAGCCATGTGTGGTGCTTAGCAGCAATACTACCCAGCTGCTCTGCATCAATGCTCATCAGTCTCTTCCAGCAGTCCCTACAGAGGTGTCTCATTATCTACACAGAAAAATGAGAAAGCTGAAGCACACACCACACAAGGTGGCTTGTCTTCAGTCACCTTGCAAAGCCATAGCAAAACCAGATCATAGATCTCCTGGTCTCCAGTCAAATGCTCTGTCCACTTATCTATGTTATCAGTTGCACGGAAGTAAAAGGCAACAGTGTTCATAATAAAATGGAAAGGATATCGACATTCAAGGTCTAATTCTGCTCATGTTTCTCCCCACATCTCATACGCACTGTATCATAAAAGGATCCTGGCAGACTTTGTGCTGCTAGCCCTGCAAGTGAGAGCAAACCAATCCTAGCCTAAAGGGAAATCTGATTTGGGCACAAATAAAAGCTCCCATCAATCAGGTCTCCTGCAGAGTAATCAACGTATGTATACAAGCATGCGCTTGCATATATCGGGAGAGAGAATGGGGATGACAACACTCAGAAAACCACTCTCAGATGCTTCTTTTAGGGTTAGGAAGATGGCAAAATGCCATCCAATAGGATGAACAGATTTTAACCAGATAGAACATACTGGAAAATACATTTCTGGGAATACTACTGCTTGATAGCTCAGCTTGGAGCTGTCATATTGCAGATACGTACCATTCCCAATCCTGCTGTCAGGAACCCTTTTTGGAGCAGATTCTAACCCATTTTTCAGTGTCCCTGTCTCAAACTAATAGACGACTTGCAAGTGGAAAAGGCACATACAGTACAGCTTAAATAGAACACCATCAGCTTTTTTTTGAAGCGTACTTAAATCACACACACACAGGAACAGTCTGAATGGGCCCATATATATGCTACATAAGTATTCTTGACATAAGCATTAGTCTGATTATTGTGCTTTCAGTAAGCATTGCAATTACTTTTGTCCTGGTTAGAAGAGCTACTAAGAACATGGGAAATCATCACTAACTTTATGGGTATCTTCCCAGGGCATATTAGACCCTATTGCAACATTTTTTCAAAGATCATTAAGATATGATTAACTGCTTCAGGAGAGACTTTACCTGATAAATGATGCTGCCTTGGATGTCAGAAACGATAGCAGAACGTGTTTTTTTTCTGCTGTAATAGCAGGAGCTATCTCCTCTGGCCACAAACAGACTGTCTCCAGTGCTGGGGAAGTGGGCTATAAAACTCTTACCTTCTCCCTTTAAACACTAAGGACAATTTTCCTCCTGTTTCATCAGACAGGGAAAGCAATCATCTCTTTAAGCAGCAGCAACTGACACCTATTTGCTAGGTAATTGCTGCACTTAAAGGGGATTAAGCACAACTGAACTCTTTCCTGATAAGGCAAAGCCACCACCTCCCACCTGCAGTTTCCCAGCTGCACCTGAGAAGACCTCAGGGGAGCGGGAGGCCAGCCAAGCCTGCTAAACTGGGAGCATGAATGCTGGCTAGAGCCCCCAGCACCAAACCAAGATACGTATCCCCTGCAGGAACTGTGCCAGACCCGACACACGCTGAGCTGCCACAAGGCCAGTGGTAGCAGGAGATGCAGAAAAGCATGCAGGGGTCTGTGTCCCACTGACAGCCATGCTTCTCAGCCCAGTTGTGCAGGGGTCTTAGCAGGAGAGAGCAGCACACACTGCAGGCTCTCACTCAGGAGAGCAGCGTGAACACTGCAGGGTAGGAAATGACAGAAAAATGCCAAAGCAGCAAACGCCTGAGTGCAACAAACCCTACCCAAGCAAGCATAAATGATACGCC